CCCACACCCGAATAGGTAGGGGATCAGAAAACAAAGGTCGACTCCGCATTTGGACAGACTGCTGACTGTAGTGGCTACGTCCCTCGTGCACGGTCCGCCGTTAAGCTTGCTCGCAGAGGAAGAAGGGTGAGACCGCAACAAGAGCTGCTTTCTTGCAGTGCAACAAGGGGCAATTCTCGACTTCATTGCTGTTGAGTCATAAGTCGAGAGGGGCATGGCGAGGAGGCGGGACGATTTGTGAAGAGAAGCAGAGTTGAGCCACGCTCATCACGTGCTGGACAAGCCGTTTTGCACGGGACTGGCCATGGTCACTACGAGCATCTGGAATCGCATCTCATCGCCCCTGATGCCAAGGGTCTCACAAGACTTGTTGTGCTTGCCGCCACCATCTTTGCAGATAGAGCCTTGGACTCCAACTGGCGTCTCGTTCACACACCTTAGTTCTGCTAGATCAAACATGACCTGAGGCATTCTACATCCGTGCTGCTGTTCATTACTGTCTGATCACGCTGTGCTGCTTGGTTCACCAACATGTGAATGTTTCGCAGAGAGCATGACACTCAGGCGCGAGCGATGCACAAAGCTGAGGCCTTGTCGAAGTGCAAATAGCTGCCACACTGGCCACGGCCAGCCTCCGAAACTTCAATTTCGCGAAGTGGTTGGGGAAGGCCGCCTCTGGCGCAGACCGTGCTGAAACATCATCCCCTGCAGTCTACAGCCTTGCATGACTCTTAGGCGCTTCCGTACAGCTGGGTGTTGTCCGCCGGCTTGGTGGTGGTGGACTGCTCTACACTGGCGAAGAACACGAGCCAAGACTGTTCTGTCCAGGCATTTTGTGTGTTTCTCTGTAGTTGGCGGTTCCCTGGGTATAGTTACCACAAGTGGCTTTTGCGAGCCTGCTGAGGATAGTGCTCGAAAATGGCGTCATCACCGGTGCGGCACCAGTGCCCCAGCAAGTCATGGACGTTCAACTGACTGAACTGCGACTCCTTCCCTGTAAGACCAAAGCAGAACCAAAATCTCCGCCCAGGTCGTAGCTGCAGTTATGGCCGTTTGCTTTGTCCTTACCCTCATGCTGACGCTTGGCTTGCCAAATCGTTTTGCCATCCGTTATGTCCTCAAGTCGTTTCGTAGAGCTGCATCAGTACTTGTCGATCTTGTAATGCAAGGTGCCGGGTCTGTATGAATTTTTAGAGAACGCTTGGTCTGAATGAGAACAGCAGACGACGGCGAATGGCACTGAGGTATCTGTTGGCAGTGGTGAAGGTGACCAACCTGAGATGTTCACAAGATGTGATCTGGTCAACTTCTTTCCAAGCGCTGTTGTACCCGCTGAACTTCACGATTACAGCATCCCGACTTCCAATCACATCCATGGTGGCAAAACAGACCGCCAGGGCTCGTGGTGTCACGAGTTTGGTATCCCGATGTGTTTGTTTTGGATGAGGTGTTCCCTACTTGGTTCATCCACAAGTCATACATCAAGGCCAGGCTCCAAATCGCCGCTCCTGCTGATCGGTGTTTGCGAGCATCAGTGAAACAGCCAGGATTATGGGCGTGGTCTTCACCACTGGGTCGCAGCTGTGTGCCTTGGGCTCCTGGTCCACGTCGCCGTCGTTGGGTTCTGAGGGATATTGGTTGGCTAGTCGGTGTTCCACTGTGTCTTCCTGCCTTTCGAACCTTCAACAATAGGCTTGTATAATAGGGGGAAAGCTCGTTATCGTTTGCACGTCTTCCTCAAAACTCATATGTCGGCGACGTTGATGTGTGTTGTCGGCAGCGACTTCTGAGCGTCGGAACTCATGTCTTCACTGACAGGTGCCTTGACAGCAACGGCTGGATCAATGCCTTGACATACAGCTGGCAACGCGTGGGGAAGCACCAGGCGTTAATGGCATTCCCACTAGCACATGCCTGTCGTCAAACCATCTTTGGGTCATAGTTATTGTGCTTGAGTAGTTTGGGAGACAGGCCCGCTTGTTTTGTCGTGGCTGTTCTTGGGCTATGAGCCCAGTTACTTGTGTGGCTTTGAACATTGAGTCTGTGGCAGGATGCCTTCGGAGTTCTTCCTGGCTTAGATGTGTCACTGCTGCAAAACTCTGATGCCGTTGGCTTTGAAGTCGTTTAGTGCCTTGGCAACTTTGGCAGGCACCTTGCAGCCGTGCTTGCAGTGAAAGTATATAGGTGAAGACGATGTGTCCGGTGTCTTTCACAATGCGCAATGTCTAAGGCAGCGATTTGGATGCACATGTTCTCCCGCCAAGTCTACACTTTTCCATCTTCTGCCGGATGACACCATGTCAACGGCAGGGCTGGCTCTCTTGCTTTTCCCGGAGCCGTAGTCTGGGTGTAGGCATAAACTTAAGGACAGCAGCTAAGTTCGCGCTAAAGCCACAAAGGCTTAGGGGTAAATCATAGGAAGTGGTTGGCTGGAGGCCAACTGATGTCGGGCCCAGCCACAGTAGCATTGAGTCCGGATCGGACGAACCTCCCTCTGTACCGTCCACACAATTTCATGACTCAGAGGTTTCATCTACTTGTCGTTGCTGCTCTGTACGGAGACTGTCGATTGTCATCCGCACCCAGAACATGGGTTGAACTCCTGTCGCTTGCCCTTGAGATGACACGAGCAAGCCTATCTTGTTCACTCTCAGGATGCATCGCAAGCGCGGTCGCATGTGCATTTGTCCAGCCAACTTTTGAAGTGAATGGTACTGGCAATCATTGCCACTTCAGCTCTAGCGCAGCTGAAAGTCAAACCGAATTGATGACCTTTGCATTGGAACAACCGCGTCCCTTGGGAAGAGAGAATGCAAGCTGCCTCCCTTTGAATGGAGCCAGAGCAGCCAAGTCCCAAAAGGGAAAGTAGGAGCCAGTGTACTTCAAACGTCACATCCAGCCGGCAGGACCGAGAGTATATATATATATATAGAGGACGCAGAATCATCTGAGAGACTCCATAAGCCAGGCTTGCGAGTTTGTTCTTCCAATGCTGGATGTGGCATGCAACATTGATTGGTTCTTATACTAGCTTCGTGAACAAGCCCGAAACCGTCTTTCTAGGTTTCAGGATGTGGAGGAAGCAGCACGGTTCCCTATATTCAACAAGCGCGCCAATAAGGCATGTCAAGAACCCAAAGCTATTTCCCCCAGTGCCTTGCCAGCATTACTTGGGGACCAGTGACGAGCGTCTGCGAGAAAAGTAGCGCGTCCGATGTTGGCATAGACCGATCACATGACGATGCAGCAACAGACCGATCAGATGCAGAAATAAGTATACTGCATCTGCTCAGAGTAGACTCGTTCGCAATGATGTGGTGCAGGGCCCAATTCACCTTAATTATATGTTGCAATCGGACAATGCATTGGCCTGCAGCTTCGTGCAAACCGATAGCAACTTCCTGCCGGGATCTAGACTCCAAAATCCAAAAATTTTGTGGAATCAGCGTCTTCTTCTGCATTTCGGCAGCTGTTTCACACTCAGCCAATCACGTCCTCTCTCTCCGACAACGGTGCTATCTGCCATGGTCGACCCGGTGGCCAAGCCACTCGAGGAAACGGAGAGCGGCGACTTTTTAAGAGAAGGTATACTGCCACCCCAATCCAGTTCACACGGGAAGCCGGGTAGGCTTCTGCGATGTGGGTCGGACCTCCGGGCAGCAGAGGCGTTACGAGCTGTTCTGGAGCAGCAGCACCAAGAAGTGCTCCAACGGTTTGACTTGCAGGCACAGCAGCTAAGCAAGCTTCAAAAGTTGCTTCCCACGGCTTCGGCCCGTTTCGCGGCTGGAGTGGTCGAAGATGGGGATGGATCCAGATCAATGCCCGCGCTGGCGATTCCTGCGTCAAGGCAGCGGAGACAGTCCTTTACACCGCTTCGCTTCCAGACCTTCGAAGAGGAGGAGAATAAGCGGCGGGAGGCAGCATTGCACGAGAGCCAGATTCACAGCAGCATGGAAAGGACGAATTCTGAACCCTTAAGGGAAGGATTCTTGACGAGACTAGTCAAGTCGAACCACTTTGAGATGTTCTTCACCTGTGTCGTTTTGACGAACTCCATCTTCATCGGTATCGATGTTCAGCTCAGCACGCAAAGCCCCGAAGACACCCACTGGGCGATTCAGGTAGTGCAGTACATGTACACGGCGCTGTTCACGATAGAACTGCTGCTGCGACTTTCTGTCCATGGGCGGAGTTTCTTTTGCAGCCCAGATTGGTTGTGGAACTGGCTAGACATCTTTATTGTCGCAACCTCGCTTTGGGAAGTCAGCATCGATGTTGTCGCAGGCCGCATTCGTCTAAGGAAGCTCCCATGTCAGTAGGATTCTGGACCGCAGTGCTTCGTGTTAACGATATAGTCTGATATAGTTTCATTACCTCAGGGTTTGGGACGCACTTCATTGGCCTGTCCCACATGGATCCCCGAACTAAGATCGCAGACTTCCGCGTCTTCACCGAGGGACGACTCTCGGGGTGCTGGGGTTCCCAGTCCCATGCTCCTGTTGGTGGGGTCTCTTTCGGTCAGCAAGGTCGTCCCCTTGTTGGAGTCTTTGCAGCTTGTTGAGGCGGCTTTGATCAAGGGCCACCGTGCGCGAGGGTGTTTGTGAACTCGTTGCAATCTTCGAGGACTCGGGCTCGCCCTTATGCTCGGTTCGAATCCGGGTGATCGGCTGGGATCTAACCAGAGAGTTCATGTGAGGCTGGATCCGCATCCAAGAGCATTCCCGAGGGAGGGGAATGGACTTGAAGAATGGATGAGGGTCCTTTAAGTGCAGATCGGCCGAGTGCACACCCCTTTTAAACTTCAACACTGCCGCCCCGCTCGCCGATCGGGCTGTGTTCGGATTCATAAATCTTTTCCAGGTCTCACCGGACGGTGGATGTTTCGGCCGAGCCATGTTCAGGTTTCAGCTGCAAGTTGTTCGCGACCGCTTGCCTGTTCAACGTTGGCGAGTTGCGAGCCGTTTTCTAGGGAGTCTTCAACCCGAGGTTGTCGCTCCTCTCTCTGTGATGTCCCGCCAAGCCCCCTTCAGGCATCCTGGGAGCCGCTGCCGAATATGGAAGCGTGGAGGGCATGACTGGATTGAGAGCGTTTCGGATCATCCGAGTCACTCGCATCGCCAAGACGGTGCGGTTGCTGCATATTTTTCGTTTCATTCTGGCCTTACGGATGCTCGTGACGTCGATCATCAACACATTGAAGTCCTTGCTGTGGGCCTTGATCTTATTGATACTGATCATTTATGTATTTGCAGTACTTTTCGCCCAGGCAGTTGCTTCTTATTTGGCAGATGGCCCGGTATCTGATTTGGAGGAGCAAACGTTGATCAGATATTATGGAAGTCTGTGGACGACCATGCTCCATCTCTTCATGAGCATTTCTGGCGGGATAAGTTGGGTGGAGCTCATCAATCCACTGGAACAAATCTCCCTCGCTTGGGTGTTACTATTTCTATTTTTTATTTCATTCACCTACTTCGCAGTATTAAATGTGGTTACTGCCGTCTTCTGCCGCGGGCTTAGTTGTTGCATGAGGCTGACCTACTGCATCTCAGTGGAGATCCATGTCTTGCCTTGCAGCAGCCAGGCGTGTTTGCACTCAGTTGTGTTTTGGACAATCGGAACTTGGCAGGACGTCGGTGTGTTTTGAGTATGCGCGAATGTCTCCTCGGGCTCAGGCTTGAGGCAGAAACTAACTGGCAACCAAGCCCGCGTATGATCGTGTATGTGTGGGGTCACAAGGTGGTACATGTTGCCACAACCACCTTGCTTGACACTGCTGTTTCTCTTTGTGTGGTTCGACTTGGTTCTGAACTTAGGTCAAAGCGCAATTGAAGGAGCACAGAATGATCATGCTGCAAAGGTGCAATCGGTTCTAGCAGACAAGCAGGCGCACTTGGAGAAAGTCCGCACGCTCTTCAGCAAGTTCGGAGCTGATGATGGAGTCATCACGTTTGGGATTTTCGAAGACAAGATAAACAGCCCTGCTGTGAAGGAATACTTTGCAACTTTGGGTCTGGAGGTCTATGATGCTTGGTCCTTCTTTAAGATGCTAGACGTTGATGGTGGTGGTGCGGTCGAGATCGAGGAGTTTTTACTGGGTTGCTTGCGCCTGCGAGGTCAAGCTACAGCCATGGACGTGGCAAAAGTCATGAACGATATCAGTTGGCTCATCAAATCGCAAGGGCAGTTTCACGCATATGTGGAAGTGGAGCTGAAGCATCTAAAGGATGACCTTTTCGGCCGCGCAAGCGTGACGACAAAGTCTCCTTCACAACCTGAAGATTAACGCAGAGGAGAAAAAAGCCTTGCGTTCACGTGTAAAACTAGGGTTCCTCAGGCGCATGCAAGATGTTTTGGAATGCAAGGTTGTTGTGCCATTGTGCTGTTACTTGCTGTTGTTGCTTTTGCGAATCGACAAAACTTCTCAGATGGAACCTCTTGATGCAGCTGTTGCAGTTCTGGAACACTGCTTCAGTAATACATATCATAAATTCATAGTTTGGCGCCATGGTCACGGAAACCGAATGTGATGACCAAGCTCCCCTCGAGCATCCACAGCCCAGCTCAACTACAATGCCTGGCAGGCACTGGCGTGAAGAAACGATCTCGCGGACGTCAAGGCTTGACCTGCGTGGCCTGCTGGTTCAACAGCATGCCATTATCTCAAAGAGGCTTGATTCACAGGATGAACTGCTGCGTAGACTAGTTGACCTGCCCAGAGCAGGCTTGACGCACCTGCCATGGTCTGCAGAGCCACAAAAAAAGCGAGATGTGCCTTCAGACGCACCTGTGAAAGTTGGTAGCACAAGGCTCTTCCAAACCTTTGAGCAAGAAGACCGCTCGCGCCAAAGGGAAGCCAAGCGAGTGTCTTTGAGACACAGTGCTACCCTTGCTGAGATGGGTGCAAATCCGAAGCCCAGCGAACAGCAAGGCATTTTGCAGAAGATTGTCAAGTCCACCGTCTTTGAGATGTTTTTTGCTCTGGTGGTGGTATTAAATTCCGTCTTTATTGGCATTGAGGTGGAGGTGAGCATATCCAGTTTTGCTACTCGCCCACCTGAAATTTACCTGGCACAGTACATCTTTGCTTGCCTCTTTACAGTGGAATTGGCACTGCGATGGGGTGCTGCAGGCTGGAAGTTTTTCTTCTCTGATGACTGGGCGTGGAGCTGGTTTGATTTGTTTGTTGTGTTGACCTCAATCTGGGAAGTGGTCTTGGACATGCTGTACGCAGGGCCTGCTGCCGATGATTCTTCTTCGCGACTTTCTGGAATGAGTGGCCTGAGAACCTTTCGCATCATTCGCATCACCAGAATTGCCAAAACCATTCGCCTGTTGCGCATGTTCCGCATGGTCCTTGCCCTGCGCACGCTGATTGCCTCGATCGTCAACACATTGAAGTCCTTGTTATGGGCTTTGGTACTACTCGGTCTTATCGTGTACGTCTTCTCAGTACTCTTCTGCCAGGCCGTCAGCAGCCACATGCTGGACCCATTAGCTGCACAGCTTCCTGAAAGAGAGCTGATGCTAGCTCAGCGTCATTTCGCTTCGCTTGGAGATTCTTATCTCAGTCTTTTCATGAGTATTGCTGGAGGTGTCAGTTGGGAAGAGCTGATGGCTCCGATAAAGCAGATTTCAATTGCATGGGTCCTGCTGTTTCTGTTCTATATTTCTTTTACTTGTTTTGCCGTGCCGCTTAGCCGTGGCAAGAACTTCTGTTCCGCATTTTTAGCTCATAGCAACCTATTATCCTATAATTGGTGAGTTTCCTCAGCTCTTCTTTGATACGCAGACAGCATAGGCTGAATGTGGTGACTGCGGTGTTCTGCGCGGTGCTTAGTTGGAACCTGCTGCCAGACAGGTCTTAATTGCAGAGCTTTAGCTGCGAGGTAGCGGCTGCAGTAGGGGGAGCGGAACTCACGTAAGGTCAGAGCGCTATGGAAGGGGCACAAAACGATCACGCCTCCCGGGTACAAGCTATCCTTGCAGACAAGGAGGCACACGTCCAGAAGATTCGCAAGCTCTTTAGCGAGTTCGGGGCGGACGATGTTGTAACGTACGAGATGTTTCGGGACAAGTTTAACACGCAGGCGGTGCAGGAATACTTTGCTACAATCGGCCTCGAGGTTCCTGACGCTTGGTCTCTCTTCAAACTCCTGGATATGGACGGTGGCGGTGCTGTTGAAGTGGAAGAGTTTTTAGACGGATGCTTGAGGTTGCGAGGACAGGCAACCGCCTTGGATGTTGGAAAGATCATCCACGAACAGGCCTGGCTTCTGAAGAACCAGGGCAAATTCCAAGCTTTCGTGGAGGTGGAACTCAGGCATGTGAAGAGACAGCTTGGCAGCATCACCGGCATGTTCACGCATGAGGTTGCTTCCGATGATGTCGGGGCCAAGCCATTCTCTTCCTGCAGATCCAGTTGGAAGAGCGACCAGCAAGCTACTGCAGAGCATCGAATGATTCAAGTTCCCCTTGTCCAAGACATTCCAGAATCAGTTTGTCCTGCAGAACAGCGTGTTCTCATGGAGTGAAGAGCTGGCATACATGGGCCTGAAGATGCCCAAGCACTTGAACCAGAACAGCCCAGAATGGTCTCGATAAACTAGCCTAACTCGCCTGCATGGCGCAAGATCCACCCCGTGGGTCGCAATGTGCCGCTGCAGTCTGCGCTTTGTGTGCGGCAAGCCCGTTTGGGATTCGCCGCAACTTATGCTGACGGAGCTTCGCAAAAATTCGCGCCGCCTTGATCCAAACGCACGAGGTTTTCAGCGTTTCATGGTGTCGGCACTGAGCCGGGACGGGAGCGGGCAAGGCCCACACAGTGCTCAAAAGCATGACATGAGATGCTCGTGCTGTTGTGCAGACTCCTGCGTCGGGGTTGCAGAGTCCAAGCTCGCTTCGGGCAAAGCATGTTTGCAAAACTCCTGCCCAAAGGCTCACGAAGAGCATCACGATGACCTGCATCGCAAGGCTGGTCTAGCATTGCTTTCGAAACTGGGCGGGCTTTACTTATTGACGACGGTCCACACGTGTGAATGTCTGTCCGTATGTGTGAGTGTGTGTGTGTGTGTCTGCCCCACCTAGATACAGCTTGACAGATGCATGTTGTGCTTGAAACGCTGTCTCAGACGGTCAACCCTGCTGAAAGCAAGCCAGGGTCGGAGACACGGATAGCTAATATTGCTAATATGCCAGGTCGGCGACACGTCCGACCTACTTCAGCGCATGCAGCAGGAGCATTCTGAGCAAGAGGCAACATCACACTCCTCTGTGAGCATCTGAATACGCCACGCAAGACATCACATCGCGTGCCAGGTCGCCTTGTCTCATGCACAAACGGGCGCTTCAAGGCATCAGGCGCCTCTGGCCGCCTCCGCGCCTCGATAACCCGTATAATCTTCGCCCGGAGGAAGACCTCCACAAACTCGAGCGGATTGCCTCAGCGCATCGGCACTCACCTCAGCACTCAGCGACTTGCACAGCAGCCTTTAGCTTGCCACTTGGCCTTCCGACGCCTCGATGAACGTTGCAGGGGTCGGGTCCACGCAGCCAACGTGGAGATCGCGCAGCTTGTCGCTCACCTCAGTCAGATTCATGTTCACTGTGTCTCTGCGACCGAGTTGGTGACTGTCGGAGCCAGTTGCGGCGGCCCAGCCCATGAAGTGATGGATTGCTGGCCTCCTTCACCTTCTGCTACAATTAAGATTGGCCCTGCTCCGCCGTTGCAGCGCTGTACTAACACACTTCTACAGCAGTTTCACGGAGGCATCCAAGCTTGAGGAACTGCTGTGTCCTTAGACTTACGGTGTGCTTGTGCGATGCGTGCAGTGCCACGCCTGCGATTTGGCGCTCTTGCACTTAGGCAAGTCTTTTCAGCACATTCCAGTACCAAGGCAGCTGCCCACAGAGAGCTTCTCGGAGGCGTCCGAGGACCGAGTTTCCCTCGAGCAGTTTGTGCTCGCATGCGGCCAGCGTTGCTTACCAGGGAGCTCGCTATTAGTTAATGACCTAGACGCTTCAGTGTGCTCAGCAGCAGAGCCCCCACTTGTGGCCCAAGCATTTCGGCTTTCCACGCGCCAAAAGCACAGCATAATGCTTTGAGCATCGAGCCTCCCTACTTGTGGCTCCTGGCAGGTCGGGCGGCTGCAGCATGAGCTACACTCGAGGGAAGAAGAGCTCGAGGTGTCGGCGAAGCCAACTATGAGCAAACGTCACACGTGAAGCATGCACTTAGGCCCACGCGTTTGCAGCTGGGCTCAAGGAACTGAATTTCGCAAGGGTTGCATGATTGCTTTTGCAACTCACTGTTGCACACATGGCCCGGGGCCCAGGTTCTGTCTTTAGAAGTGCTAGAGAATGACCGGACCGGGGGGGACCCTGTTTGCGAGGTTTTCCGCAGAGATCTGGCCATGGTACCTTGCCCAGAGAGTGTCATCTGAGAGTGTCAATTGTCGCGTGTGGCAGCACGGAAGCTCAGGAAAAAACCGAAGAAGCGCTCCTCGACTTGGAATCGGCAACACTCCACGCACCGTGCGTATTACACCAGACTCCCTTGCGGTAGAATCACCCTTATCAGCTGCATGCCTTGGCTTGTCATGTCCGCGCGAGCACCTTGTGATGCTGTAGAATCACTGTATTTTGAGAACGCAGCAAGACCCATGGCCTGCTTGGAGGCAGAGATATCCGACCCCTGGAATCATCTATGAAAAGGCCGGCATGGGATGCACGCAACTGCGGCATGAATACGACCGGATGAACCCTCTGGTGCCAGGGCTCCCAGCTGTACCTGCAAGATCCAGCATACTGGAATTACTGGGTGGCTCGACAGCTTTCTGCAAAGAACACAGATTTGGAAGTAGTCCCGAAGCTGTTCTTTCTCTCGATAGCTGTACTCAGGATCGTCCAATCAAGCCAGGCTATCCTGCAGATGTGACTTGCCCTGGGCAGATTGAGTTGACGCTACGTATAAGAAGGCTAAATGGAGCTTGCAGCAAATACAACGCTGCTTTTGCGCTCTTTTCTGCATGAGGACTTCTTGGAAAGCAAAGTAACATCTCCGCCAAGCGTGTGGTGGGAACAACGCTGCTCAGCCTCTATTCATGCCCAGAGGTCTTACTGCGTCATTCGTCACGCACGAAGGCAGGTTGTGGCGCAACAAATGGAAGCAGCTCGGCACCGGAGACGAGGGGATGGCCGCTCGGCTTCCTGGGTCATGTCAGCCCCCGTGGATGGGTTTAAGATGGTTCAATATATGTACGAAAGTTGTCGCTGTCCAACTCAAAGCTGAGGCAACTTTCCCGTATGACGGTCGACCGCCTCCGGGCTGGACGCTGTGCTTGCACTGATGCATTGAGGAAGAAACAGTCTGCTCGCAGGAGCACCCGAGCATCCTCCAAAGGTGTTGTTGAGAAGCCAGACTAGCTAGCAGCTAGCAGACCCTGTATACTGGAATGCCCAGTCTAGCGGAAACCTCGCAGGCATTTGACTAGCCGATTCTCGGCCGTTGTGAGCGTCAGCTCCTCGTCACAGGAACGGGCGATGCGTCAGGGAGCCCGGGCTTCTGAATGCAGACTGGGGGCGGCCAAAGCTCTGGTGGGAATGGCTCGAGAAACCGCACCTGGCTGCACTCATTGCAGTCGAAGCTTGATCTTCAGATGAAGCCTTGACTCACGCCATGCTGCCACGATCAACTAAGGGCAGGCGCGGTGGGGGATTGGAAAAGTGGCCTCAAGGCAGCAGCCAAATCCATGGTTGGTGACTTTGTTGGAAGCTTCTTTGACGATGAGAAGCGCCCAGTCTTTATAATGAGAGGATGTTTGCGAGCCCGCAACTGAAGTCCGGCTGACGTGAAACATTGTTTCTCGCTGCTGTACTTAGGTGCACGTTGCCAATCAAGCTCGACTCCCCTATTTCCGAGTACTGGAAAGAGGCAGGTCAAGCCGGCTTTTGAGCCGCACTTGATTGAAAGGCTCAAGCGCAGGCCAATTCCAGAACCAGAGAGTTTTTCAAATCAAGCGCAAGGCTGTCGGGGCTGTTTCCCACTGCCGCATGCCAGCAAGGCTTCGACTTGGAAAGTCCTCAAGCGCCGTGGCCCCGACGCGGAACCTTCCGCAGAGCCAAGGCCGCAGATATGCCAAAAGTTAGGGGCGCATGTCTTTTGATGTCTGCACAATACGGCTTCTCCTTTCAAATCCCTCCCGTGTAAGGCCTTGCAAGTTTGCAAGTAGTCCGCCCCCCTCGGGCAAGGAAAGAAGGCCGATCAAAAGGTGTATGCCACCTGGGACCAAGAGAAATGGGTGGACGAACATACTCTCCGACGTCCTACCATCAAAGGCCGGCACACCTGCATGCAGCACTACATAGATATCGATGTGATGCAGACTCCATGCTGTAGCAGGCTTTCCGAAAGCCTTAACACCTGCTGGACTGGAGCGTGCTACGCCACGCTTTGAAGACAGGCGCCGTTCATGTTGAGCCGCGTGCATCACACGTTGGAGCTTTGGAGCGCGAGACAGTCACTCCTAGTTTTGTCGATTCCAAGCTTGCTCGACCTCGGACGAAGTTGAATTCAGCTGGGCGTCTCGAGAATTGATCCGCAATGTCGCCATGACAGCTACCCGCCCACCCCCACACACTCGCAGACACCCTTAAGAACGAAAGCTGCCACAGGTTCGAGGAAGACGAGCCCGCGACATTGGACCCACGACTTCCGCGCCCTGCAGGTGTCACGTAGTAAGTGACACAGTGTTCAGGGCTCGGGAGTACGGACTGAGTCACAAATGCCCCTGCCTCGTGACAACTGGGCAACTTTTGGTGACAACTCATGCGGGTAGGCAAGCTCATGCGGGCTGGTGCAGTCGCCAGATGTGGCTGTGAGGTCTACCTGATCTGAACGAGTATGTGGAGAGCCAGCGTGAAGAAATGTTCGAAGAAGCAAGGATGAAGGCCTGTGGGCTTGACAAAGAGCCGTGCATGTGCCACCTACACAACCTTCTCGCGAGGCCTTCGATGGGAACTCGGGGGCATTGGGTTCTATAGCAGACTCGCTGTCAGCATCTTGGCATGTCTTGGCCGTCTGGCGACAACATGGAGGAGCAGAGCCTGAAAATAACAAATGTGACATGGTATTCGCAGTATTTGCCATGAAGCATTGTGGGGCCCTCAAAGCCTTAACATCCCTGAAGATCTCTGGGCAAAAAAAATCGATGGGGCTCAGTGCAACGAGCACTGGCCTGCTTGAAGACACGGCTTAGGAACCGACTTGAATTGCAGTCAGCTTATCAGTACTGGTAGCCAATGGTGGAAGACGAGCTCATTATGTCGGTCAGTGGCGACGGATACTGCCGCAACTAAGAAATCGCGCAACGACGAGATCCTGGCTTTGAAGCTCGTCTGACTCAAGCTACCAAGCATGGTGTCACCCGGTGGTCAGAGTCCCTACAGTAGTGGATTCAGTGGACTTAGTGGATTGAAGTTAGGAAAGTTCTTCATAGCTGAGGAGAGGTTACAAGCGTTTGATGAAGGCGGAGCCCGAGTGGCTCGACAAGTTCCTCGAAGGCCAGAGAAGATTCCGACTCAGGGGAGGCCGCAGTGGTGTTCTTTGAACCGGAGGTGATGTTGAGAAGCAGGATGCCCCAGTTGGATATGGAGTCGATGTCACTGGGATGCAAGGACCCCTCTGAATCCTTTTAAAGTCTCATGTGCAAAGCTAAGGAGCAGACTTTCGAGATGGTGAAGGAGCCAAAACATCCGGTGTGGGAGCCCACACCGCCTCCATGGCCACTTGGTACCGAAAAGTGTTCCTTGTCTTGCTTAGTGCCCTTGTCTTTGCATCCCAGGCACCCCGGCGACATTCTGAAGAAGATTCCGAGTTTCGCCGAGGCCTCAGGCAATCGACCGATGTGCATCTTGACATGAGATGCTGGCATAGTGATTGCCAAGGAAAAGATCTGGAATGAGCGCATGAAACAAGACCCGCGCCTGCAGCCAGAGTCGAGTCCAGGTCTGACCCTATTTCTGACAGTTTGACATACAGTGACGTAGTATTTCTGTTGCTTCTTCATACGCAGTAGTATATAGTACAGTACGTAGTCACGTAGTATTCCAGGACTTGCAGGTGAACGAGGGGTTGTTTGGGGCCCTTTGAGGGAGCCGGATCCGAGGCTCTGGGAGCTGCTGCGAACTTTAGTCGCTTCTCTGGCCGGGCTGCTCGCGAAGCGCAAGACGACTTGGACCACCAGTGGCGCCTTCGCTAGCAGCGCTGCAAAGCTTGGAGCGACCTTCCTGCCTACCCCGACGGCTGAGGCAAGATCTCAGCAAGCCACCAGACAACTCGACGAGCCTTTGCTGGCCTAGCTTGCAAGCATCATGGGGCACTTGCATGGCCGTGAAATCCTCCTGCAAAGATCGCAAGGAGAGGTCTCTTGAAGAGGGCTGAGGCTGAAGCCGAAGCTGAGCGAGGCAAGGCCGAATTCTGCCCTCTTTTGCAGAGAGTATGTGGAAACCAACAATCACCATGTACATGCTGCAGTGAGAGCCAGTTCCGCTTCGTTGCATCCACGGAGAGTATTATACGCTTGAATTGAATAGCTGTGCACACCCAGAGCTTGCTGTGCTCAGCTGCCGATCCACCCATTGTGACGGCGGCGGACGAAGCAGAGGCAGGGTCGAAGCTCGGAGCTCGACTTGCCGACAGACCAATGAAGCCTCATCCACAGTCACAGGGATGTGTCGCATGCGCAGGTCAGGATGAATGCAATGGCGAGCGCCAATGTGGCTGACACAGAGGGTGCAGCAGCAGCTCAGTCTGCACCGACAGCAGCCTGAACAGTTTTCGGAAGCCTGCAGACATGGTTGGAGACTCCCCGAACGAGGACGATCCGAGCGAGCAGCTCGCTGCTGTGCCAGCTTCTCCTTCGACACTCTGCCGCACATGTCATTCCACGCTCTGTCATTGACACGTGTTTACATCCTGCAGAGGCCTGCAAAAGCTGCGTCTGACGCAACCCTGCCCTGCAGTTTCGTGGAGCGGAAGAAGGATGGAATTTGTGTTTGTTGATGAACCACCGGACACCTGACACTTGATTTACAAACACGCGGCAAGCCGTATGCTGAGCAACTCCCTTGCGCTCTTTGGGTAGCCCGAAGACGGCCACGCAAGCCACTTCGACTCTTCAGAAGCCGAGGTTGTTTCATGCGTGGCTGCCGCCGCGAAGGGTAACTTATGCATACAGATGCCAGGAGGGAGGTGACAGAGAAAGAAAGAGAGAGAGAGAGAGAGAGAGAACATAGTGACCAACAGACGGCCGATATCGGTGCTGACCAGCACTCACTCCAAAAGTGGCAAGGGGGACACCCTAGCTTGCCCCCAGGTGTGTGGTAATCGCAGTCTTGTGTTTTGCTTCCCTAACCATGCCCGTGCCGACAGGCGGTAGACTTCATGTCAAAAAAGCATGTCATTGAGTCGAGACAGATTCAGGAAGGGTGCCAACACCGAGATTCCGGAGGCGCAGAAGATTGATGCCAAGGAGCAGAAGCTCGCGCAAGGTGCGAAAGTGGATGTAGACCAGAAGCACCAGAGCTTCTGTTGAGGAGGCCAGCCTTCCCAGAAGCACCACTGGCGTGACTTGACGGAAACAAGGCACCCAGCCAGCTACCTTAGCTTGCATGGCCTCAACGAGGACATGAGTCAAGCCTTCAGCTACGCTTCGGGGGCCATGGGGTCTTGCACTGCTGTAGACCGATCATGCGGGACCCAGGTCACCAACGATGGTACGAGCCACAACAAATCTTCGGTGAGAAGAAGAGGTTCGCCCGTGTCTGGCTTTGGTATTTCCTGGTGATGAGAGGCTGAGTGCTGTTGGTTTCGGGACTGTTGAACTCAGCGCGTGCCAGCTACAGGCAGCGCTGCCTCGTCAAAGAAAGCGACTCCTTTGCAATGCGTCAGATCACCTGCCAGAAGTGGTTCGCCTCAGAAACTAAGGACTACAACGCCTTGTCCAGTGAGGCGGTTCACGATTACATCCTCGCACACATAAGCTTGACATGGCTTGATACGGAATTTCAATAGCACTTCTGGAGCAAGCCTGCAGACCGATTGATGGGTTTACGAAGTTTACGACCGAAGTCTGTTGACATGTTGTGTCTCGTTGTGGCTTGTCCAGGACGCCTATACATCAATCAACGGATCACCCAAGGCACGCAATTCAAGCCTTCCCATGCGCATGACACGGTAGCCTGTGTTGTTGCATCCGTCAAGGTGGACCCTGTGACGATGAAGGCCAGTTCGGTCGCTGCCGCCGGGAAGAATTAGCTCCAAACTTCGAAGCACTGCTGCCATCAGCTGCCATCGGCGATTTCGGAGCCAAGGCAGAGATGCTCTTCGCCACGGGACTTCTGACAGTGCCAAGACAAGCTTGGTCATGCAACAGTGCTATGAGCAGCTCGGCAAGAAAGTCGTGCTCCTTCTTGCGGTTATGAGTCATGAGTCAAGTTCTGTTCTTCGACGTGCAGGCCTGAGCTTTCTGAACAAAGGTTCGTTCCTGTGACCGAAGGTGCAGAGTAAGAGTAAGTGTATTAATTAGTATAGTATAGCTCGCGAGATGGACGGAAAAGATGATGACGCATCGTGGCAGGAACTCTGTCCGGCCGTCACTTCTTTCCAGCCGTGACTTCAAGATGTTAACGAAGCACCACCTATTTGAAGGTGTGCTCCTGGCTAATGCTACCAGCTCAAGGCAGCTGTCGTCAGATATCTTTTCTACGCGAGTTTGCAGAAGCTCCTTCGGAGAAAAAGTGCAAATCCCTTCTCTTTGCTATCAAGAGCGGAGGCGATGCCCACGGGAATGGACTTCAACAGACCTGTCAGGCTGCTGGCCGCAATGCTGCAGCACTTCGCAGCAGGGTGGGGTGGCCAAATGGGCTTAACCGAGAGCTTGTAGCCGACTTATGAACCTCATCTTGGACTGTTGCACTTCTGCACAGAGGGAAGCCACCACCTCGTCCATGCCTAAGCACCTCCAGCGAGAGGCTTTGCGGGCCGAATCCATGCTGCGGCTTCTAAAGAACGAGGCAGCCGCGGCATCGGGGTCGTGGGAACAGGCTTGGGGGCCTGCAGGGTTCAGGCTTGAACAGAGTTAACATGTCGCGAAGGTAAAGCTTTTGATGTTCTGTTATACTGTGTGGCCAACAAGAAACAGAAGAAACTGATGGGTGCATGGCTGGCATAGGCCCTAAGCATTGATGCAACCTGACTCCAGGATTTGCCAACGGGCCTTCGTGCCCTGGGCGAGCAGTGCTCCAGGCTCCCGCTTCTGCTCTCCGAATTGTCCAAATAGTGGCGACGACACGACGAGTACACAGTACCCAGCTTTTGAATCGCTTTGACAGGTTCAGGGGGAGGAGTCCTCCCCCGCGAGCACAGTCTCCTCCTCGCGGCGATGCCCTCGTAAACTGGGCGCGGCGAGCGGACGGAAAAACTACTGCCTGGTAAATAAATTCTACACTTTGGACCAGAAACCATTCACCGGTTTTTCGACGTTCCCCGATGAATGCACGACTTCCGGATTCCGCAGCGATGTGGCCCGATGGATACCGCTGAGCATGCCCCCTCTCACCGTGGAGTATATCAAGCATGCTACCGGGGAGTTCGATGAGGCGCTCCCGGCCATTGCCGTGGGACTGTTGCGAACCTGTTGAAATCGCAGGAAAGCGTATTCCAGGCCATCCTCCCCAACCGCTCCTGAGCAGCAGTCAGGGTGCCTGGGAAAACTGTCCATTCTGAACGCCGGCTCAGGCTCGATCACAAGGATTGAGCAGCTTGCCAAGTGCGCTTGCCTCAGTTGGTTGAAAAATGCAATCGATTTTGCAACATGGCATGGTGCTTCAGTGATTCGGGATGGGCGTTTAACACGTCGCAACTGAGTCACAACTTGTCCCCTCGATGACAGTCTGTAGGCTGTAACCTTCGATGGTTGGATCTGTCGAAGAACCAGATTGTCCGTGAGCGCCTTATTTCAGAACACGGCGCGTGCCGACAGAGCTTTGCTGGAAAATTACGCAGTGTCAGAGTTCAGATTCACTTCGAGGCATGGAGAACTTAGATGGCTTGAGCCAGCTGGTTTCAGCTTCTCGGCTTAGACTTCTGAGCTGCCATGTCCAGACTTGCACACAATCGTGTTGCCTCGGGCATTTTTTATGCTTGCACCAGATAGGTTGTGCCACGTATTTTTCTGCTAGAGCAGCCGTACAGTGCCGTACAGTATTATAAGCGGAGGGTGCAAGATTTGTTTGAGCTTCGACCCAGAAGGTCTTGGTCAGCTCTCAAATTGCCGAGTTGGTCATTGCTCATGTATCAACACATGTCATTCTTCAAAGTCACAGCATGGCGCCCCAATCTACTTGCATCTCTCCTGCTCGTCGCACAGACGTTTTGGGCGCTTAAGTGCATTCGGGCTGCACACACCAGGTTGACCTGTCCTTCAACAAGATCTCGAAGGCAAGCTTCACGCTGGACCGTTGACAGTGGGTCACATCTTCATGAGACTTTGTGCCCCCAAAACCTCAGAACTTCAGTTTTTCTTGGGGTACCGAAGCTCTGCGTGCGTCCGCACATGAATGTGTGGGAGTGTGTGTTCATGACAGGTCCAGGATCTGAGCGGCACTCCAAAGCTCGAGCGGTTGATGCTCAAGGCCACTTAGAGGGCGAGAGTCTGCCTGCCAGCTTGTGCTGCCACGTCCTGCCCAAAGTAAAGGCATCCTAAGCCGGGCTTTCGGGCTTCGTTTTCAGTCTGCATCCAGGATCGCACATAGCAGACATAGCACAGATGCCAGGGTGCCGCAGTGCCCACACCTGCTCGAACATGAATGACCGAAGGCCAATCCGATCTCCAAAATCCAGGACTTGGAAGGCGCTTCGTTCAAGAGCTTGGCAGAAGACAAAGATAGCTGCGTAACTCGGGCTTTCAACCGTAATTGCTGCCCTGTCATGCAGGTCTGAAGGCATCACGCTCCTTGCGCCATCTCTCCTTCCAGAACGTGGACCGCGAAGCCGGAAGTGTCTCTGCAGTAGCTGGCCCTCTGCGGCGGGGGAGAGGACAATTCTGATGCTTGTCCAGTATGCTCACTGCCAGAGTCCAAGCCTCAGCTTGCCGACTCTCCGACACGTGACGGACCTTTCTCTCTGCATTTCAGAGAGGTACGCCAAGAGCTTGCGATCGCTTTGTCCCGAGCTGTTGGCCTTGGACTCGAAGCGACTACGACTACCAGACTTGGATCGTGAGGCTCAAGCCTTGACACATTTTTTTTCTCGATCAAGTTGAGCTCTTGCGTGCGAGTCTCAGCTTAGATTCGACGGCTGGACGAACAGAACGCTGTGGACATACCCGAGCCACGGCCAGAAGCTCGTGAAAGTAAGTCTAGCGCAATGTGGTGCGCAATGCAGTGCGCCATGAGTGCAATGAGTCATTAACTACTCAGAGGCACTCGACTACCCCAGAAGGATTGCTTTCGTCGGTCATCATCGGTCATCTCTTCTGCGCTTCGAGGCCATGGTTCTCGGCCGAGGAGCTGGACCTGGGTGAGATGCAAACATCGGAGGCGGTCGAATGAAGGCCATAATGCTCCTAAAGAAAACCTCATACCTGATGCAGGTCATCGAGGAGGCGCTGAAGGATCGCATAGGAGAGTTCGAGGCCTGGTAGATGGCGTGGACATCCGCTACTCGCAGCGTGGAAAGAGCTAGGGCGAACTCCCTCTCACTCTCGCACTCGTGCCCTCTTGGCCTGTTCTGAAGGCAGCCATGGCCGACTGCAAGCAAGTGTTCAGAGAGGCCGACTGCACTGAAAGTCAAAGTCTTATGCGTGACCTGCGCGAACACCGTCCTCCAGGCAGAAGAACTGCTTCGACTGCAGGAGGCTGGCTGACTTCCCTCAGGCCCGGACATGCCCAGACCGGTTTAAACGGACCATGGCCCCCTCCCGGGTGTCTTGACCAAGAGGAGAGGTCTTCTGGATGTGCACGACAGCCATCAAGCAAAAGCTACAATGGCGGCGATTCGTCTAAAGAAGCAACAGTTCCACTGGCAGGTCAGAAGGCCAGAAGCTGCCCTGCCTAGGTGAAAAAAGGGCAAGGAGCATCGCATGTGGAAGCACATGGCAGCTCACATACTGTACGTGTCAGAAGATCGGAGCATCTTCTCAGTTTGGACTTTGGCCCAAGCAAAACTCAGAGACTTGCCAAGCCTAGAGAAAAGTTCGCTCCGTGGGTAGACCATGAGCAGGAGAATGGTTGGATTCGCTCCAGACACTCCATCCTACCGACAACCTGCTGGCACAGCTTTACGCCATCCTGGCGCACATCATCCAATGTATATATTAGGAGCCACAAGCGGCAGCCTCGCACTGTCACAAGTGAAGCGGCCCTGGGCCGAGACGCTCCCGTTGCCGATGCCGAGATGCTTTCGCCAAGCGCTGAATGCCTCGTGCCGAACTCCCGGAATCTGGAGAGCTTCCTTGAGGTTACCATGTCTTTCTGTGCATGATATTTGCGGCGTGGAGAAACTGCTTGCTTTGACGGAGATCACCGGGGCTCGATGTTGTCAGAGCTTGAAGCGAACTGTCAACACGGTGTGGGCTTTCGCAGGAGCTGCACATAGCTAATCAGGGCCCCTGAGTCCTGCACCTCTCCGTTCCAGTCGTCACTCAGAATCTCTTGTGTCATCTTGTGTCACTGAGGCCTACAGTGCCGACCGCCGCCAGCAGGCCCCGGTTTAACACCTGCCCATCAAACCAGACAAGACTTTGCCGCCCGGCATGTTGCGAATTAGGATGCAGAAGCTGCTCAAGCAGTGCGGGAGAGGCAGTACGGAGCCCAGCTTGTCGTGGCGAAGGTAACATATCACGATCATAATGCTTCCTCCGGAACAGGTCTGTCTGGCAGCTGCGGTGCAAGTTAGACCAGTCGCGCCGCGAGGCATTTTTGGCCATGCTCGTGCTTTCGATCTGTGCCAAGATCCCTAATTTTAGTCCAGGCTCGACTAGTTGCTCGCGCTCTGCAGCATCAGTATGCAGACGTGAAGAGGCTGGAGGCAGGGGTCCGGCAGAAAACCTGGATTGGTTGACAGCTGCAAGAAGTCCCAGGCCGCAACACGACAAGAGTCTCAATACGCGGCCCAGTTGGAGTCCAAGGCCAGCTTGCAGCTGATTCCTCCCCCGACCGATTCCAGGGCACCGTCAACTTTTCCTGCAAGGCTCGGTAAGATGGAATATTGTCATAGCAGCTCTCAACGAGAGAGACACATGAGTACAAAGTCTCAGAACACATGTTCATTGCTATGCACGAGCGCACATGCAGTACCCGTTCAGGCAGCGCAGCTGTTAGCAAGCAGCCCGGCTGTCGAGCTTCGCTTCCAAGGCGAAGGCCTTCTCACTTTCTGCAGTGGGCCTGCTGAGTACTTACGCATACCTGTGCTGCACCTCAGCGCACTGTTCAGGAGAGCTGGAAAGCCTGCACGACGAGAATCGCTGCCTACTAAGAGCCTGGTCCGCAACAGAACCCTCTTGTCACTGCCGGCGGCCATTCGCCAGACGGGAGTCCGAAAATGATGCATCCTCAGACAACGCAGATTCACCTTGACAGCAATTCCTGTGCCGTGTTGACAGCTTTGCAGCTTGCTTGAGCTTGTCATCTGATTTCAACTTGCCCATTGTCGTTCTCGTTCCACTCGAGTGATGGTTACTCCACAGCACTTCGTCGGACATTTCTGCCGGCGAAGACATGTCGTGTTCTCACCTTCTCCTAAAGGGGAGTACTTGTTGCCGGTGGAAGCCAGCTTCGTTTGCTCTCTGCTCGTGTGTCTCTACATTGCCGAGGAGATATCCGAGGTTTGCGGCAGTCTGAGAAGGACTCTTTGTCAGACTTCCCAACTACCACCCAGCTCAATGCCCACAGGGCAGCGCCGAAGAACTCATTCGCAGTTGAAGCCCTGGCTTGATGGGCACAGGAGCGGCGTGGAGAAGCACTGCGACTCCTTGAGACTGCCGAGGACATGGGCATTGTCCTGTCCCAGTACTGTATGTCGTGGCAAGCGGTTCGTGGACAGATCCTCGGAAAATCTGGAAAGGACTGCGCAGCAGTTGCAGAGGTTCCGGTGGATCTGCTGGGTGCAGTTGGATGGGGCCAGCTGGAGGTGCAGGAGCAGACAGACCTTGAGTTCTTGCCTTTCACTCCACCCGGCTTGACAAGCTGCAGGAGGCGCAGCTGAGTCTTGCCCGTACCAGCGCGGCGAGGTCTTGTGCTGCCGAGGACAGCCAGCACGACGGAAGCTCCAAAAGTGAAAATACATGAAGACGCCAGGAGCACGATTCCCTTCTTTGGGCTTTGCACTCAACTCGCCAAGAGCATCGTGTGAAGGCAACCCACAGAAGGATGGTTCTGGCAGTGGCTCTGTTGGTCATCTGGCGAAAATTCGACGACAGCGAGTGTTGCCGTTGAGGAGACTCCCACAGCCCCAAGCCAGTGGTTCTGCCGCTTCCTTCAGAAGCCGTGACAGCGCCTTGCAGGTGGCACAGCTCGCGACAGACGAATCGGTGGCATTGCAGCATGAGATGTCGAAGTGTAATGTGTACAAAGCTCAGTGTCGGGGCAACCGTTGCAGTAGGAAGACGAAACAGCACGCGAGGCTGCACTGTCCGCCAGCGCAGAACGCCGGCACTTCACGGCTGAGATCGCAGCCTGCTGCGAGGCATTTGCGCCACTCTTGTTACAGGTAGTAAAATATGGTAAAGTCAAGGAGAGGTCGCACAGGAGACCTGTCGAGAGTGTGTGCGTGTGTGACTCCAACAAAAACCTATTCTTTTGCACTAGGTATGTTGACAACCGTCTTGTCATTGTTTCACACAAGATTATCGAGGATCGACGGCTTCAACATTTTCCTGTGCAATAACTTTTGACAACATCCTGTCGAACTCGAACATGTTGTTAGCAAGGATGCAGTTGAATAGTGTCTTGGTTTTGATCTTCAACTTGATCATCATTCTCATCGACTTCAACTTTTGCTTCGGCCAGATCTTTATTGCTGCTAGCTACAAGTCCGTGTGAATGCACCTAATGTGTCTTCGTCTGCAGACAGTCTGTTTTGGCTCATTCTTGCTCGCAAATACCCCGAATAAAGCCATGCGAACCGATGCTTTGGGATCTGCACACGACCCCCTGTTTCCACTCAACCGGTGGATTCAATACACCCAAACCGAACTCCAAAGCATACGTGCAGTTGTACAACACCGCTACGAAGAAGACGTGGCTATGCGACGCATCCAGCAAACACAACTTGATTCGCTTCAAGTTCAAGTCCGGGATTTGGCCCAACAACAATCTGAACTCTCTGAACGGTTCACAGAAGTAGCCACTGCTGTCGCAGTTTTGTTTCACCAAATTGGAGTAGTGTCTAAGACTGTAAATCAAACAATGTATGATGTTCTGCGCCACTTTGACAGCTCGGTTCAGTTGCCTGTTACACAACTTGCTGCTACCCAGCCCGATAATCATAGTCTTTAATGCTTGTATTGCCGGTTCTACCGGCTGTGCGTGTGTGTGTGTGTGTTTGTGTGTGCGCGACTCCTGTTCCGAAGGATGTAGGATGTACAAGTTTTGTATCAAAGCAGGGGGATGGAGCAGGCCTGTGGAGCTCCATCTAGCAAAGCTCTCCACAGTGTCCTGAGGATATCACCAGGGACACCTTTTGACGTGCTTGCATTCGCAATGGCAACCAGGCTAAGCCAGAAACCCGGCAAGTCGATATCGTGCGAAGGATCGAATGTGTTGCAAAAATGTAACAAGCTAGCACAAACAGCATCCATCTAAGTAAGGATGAGTGGTCTGCAAGTGTGTGTGGGCTCTGATGGCTCTGGCAGGCGGCGGTGTTCCTTCGAAACGAATACAACGAGCTGCAGGTGGGATCGAACTCTGCTGCAGTTTAGATGAACACGAAGGCTCATGCAAAGGCATGCAGCTTCCCCATCTCCCAAAGCAACATCCTACACCAAGCGACACCAAGCGCAACGTTTGCTGAGCAAGGCTGAGTCGGCTCGTGAGCAGGAAGATGAGAAGGCATGCAGTGACCTGGCAGCACATGGCGCGATCGCGGACGACATGCGAGACATGGGGCATGTCACCGCCGGGGAGTTCTTTTGGCTTGAGATGCACGTCAGGCATCGAGCTCCCGGAGCTTGAGTCAAGACAAGAGACATGCTCTCGGGACTGCGCTGCGATGCACGAGCGCAGCTCAACAGTTCAGCTGTCACCGGAAGACATCGTCTCCTTGACAGGACTTGCTTACAGAGTCCTTTCTCCTCAACCAGAGCCGCGAAGCAGCGCAGAGCCTTCGAGGACCGTGCATGCAAAGTCCCTCCCAGTCCGGAGCTTCCATGATGCAAGGACAAGTGGGGCAGATCGATGCCGCATTGAGCCCTTTGACTGCCATCTTCGCTCAGATTGGAAACTGGTGACAGCACGTGGTTGCGATAGCTTTGCAGTTTAGGGTACTCTTGCTGACAGCTAGAACGCAAGAGGCCACAAGAGTCTTACTCTCCAGCAAACCGAGCATGAAACGCTTGTCATTTCGACGGCACACCATTCTTCAAATTCACGCGCCGGGCATGCACCGACGATCAAAAGAAGCATCTATCTTGTTCTCAGCAAACGATGTGACGATGTGCTCCAGAACAAAGGCGACGAGCGCAGAAGAAGCCACTGAGAACACTTCCTCGGATCGTGGCAGAAGGCCCGAGCCAAAATGCCGAAGGCCGATCGTCGTTTCGTGCCACGAGGCACGGAGCCTAGGTGAGGTTGGGACCATGAGAGCCACAAACAGAATCCAATTTAGGCGATGAGCCCGCTAAAAGCTCTGCATAGTTACTCACAATGTGCGGCTGTTGGCCTTGGGGTTCTGGAAGGCGGGGCAAGATGGGTTTTTTTTGCCTATCAGGGGCTCCTCGGCCTTTTTGCGGTGGTCATGATGCCACTAGTGCTCGCATGTTCGTTTTTTGGCATTTTGGCTGTGGGCTCACGGCCACAAGGGGGTGGTCTGAGAAGCGTTTCCAATTCAGCCAACGCCTTCCGGACGTCTGCAAGCAAACGCTTTGCACGCCAGGCCTGGTTGCCCTGCCTCAGCCTAGGGTACCGGCGTAGCGGTGCGCGAGCGACTCTGCAAGGTCTCGCCTTCTGGCGACTCTGTGGAAAGGTAGCCAAACGCCAACTTCGTGGATGTGCATGCGTGTATTTCTGAGACATGAGGCTCTGCAGCTGCCAGACGCCGCGGTCTGGTGGCGGAAGAGTGGCGTGGAGACGCACTGCAGGTCTGCCGTGTTGTGGGGTGATAGGGGTGATTATATAAAGGTCTGGAAAGAGTCGAATCAAATCGGCGATCCAACCAACTGTTGATTTTGGGCACGGACTTAGCTAACTGGTGATCATTTGTGTAGGGCTACCTCGGTTCTCCTGCAGTGAAAATGCGGTTCAGGCTGCTGGGCTGCGAGAGCTCGAGGTGCAAACCAGCGAACTGCAGAGTGAAGCTTGGCCTTCGAGTTCTATCTGGTATGTTCCGCTTCCTGCTTCAAGCGGTGGCATCTCTGTATTGCCATCTAAGAATCTAAGGAAGCAGCTTCTGCGCAGGCTCCCCTTCGGCAGTCAACCATGCTGACACTGTGCGTTCTCTTCCATTGAGCGATGGTTGCCAGTCTAGGTCAACTCTGTACACAACTGCCACTGGTACCGTTGTCCATCCTCATGCCTCTGTTTGATGTCCAGGTTGCAGCGCTGAACCTGAAGCAGATTCGGGAAAGCCGGACCCTCTAAAGTGCCTTCAAGGTTTCGTAGACAGCTGAACTACCGCACCTTTCAGGTTGTAAACTTCAGAGCCACGAGCAGACGCAGTGGACTAAGCGTGATAACTGCCAAACTACTCGGCCTCTCGACCAGAATGGTTGGCAGGTCGATGCTGGAGATGGAGCACGCTAGAGCAGAAGAGCTTATTGCGCACGGCACTGAGCTGTCCTCTTTCCACGCCTTTCCCTTGCTTGTGTAACTGTACAGCACGGTCTTAAGCTTTGCAATTCGGAGAGTTAGCTTCGAGTGCACTAGATTCTTCCCGACGGGCAATCGCACCCTGAAATTATTCCCTAAACCGGCGACTACTCGCAGTGGCTGCTTGAACAGAGACGGTTCGCCCTCCTCAGAGAGCTGTTGATTCCCAGCTCAAGTGCAGAACACACCGCTAGCCCGCCTAGCCCTGCGATGTCGACCAAGGAGCTATGCCTGCGCTTGGGAACATGTCCACAAGCTGCAACGCGCAGTGCGAGCTGAAGAGGTGCAGAAGAAGGCAGCGACGTGCTGCGACTTTCCAACATGTTCCGGGGAACGCCCAAGCAGTCTGCGTGATCGTTTGAGCAGCTCTCGGTGGCTGGAAGGACCCGCACAGAACATCCCAAAATCAAAGTCCATTGGCCATAATTTGCCTGGGCACCTGCAGCTAATCCTCTACTCGATTTTTTGGAGCATGCTGTTGCTGCACCAAGCTCAAGCTTGGCATCAGGCAGGGAGACGTATCATATGTAGGCATAATTAGGCATATAGGTGTTGAAAGATGTCTTGCTTGTGTGAGGTACGAGCACATGCCGAAATATCTAAGAGCAGTGATCGCGCTAGAAGCGAGCTGAGCGAGCTGAGGCGATGCAAGAGAGAGCCACAGAAGCCGTGCTGGAGAGCGAGGCCTCGGGTCAGCCAGCAAGGTCAATCGGGCTGTGCTTCGTGCTTTAGGACTTTAGGGAGCTGAAGCGGGGAGAAACAGGCAGGTGTGGTGGAAGAAGATGGGTTGCGCTTGCCTTGCAACGCGATGGTTCAGAGAAATAAGAGAGGCAAGCGTGACCTAAGCAAGTCCAAACAAAGGTTTGAGAATGCAAGCCCCTTGCAACACACGGCCCTGGCAGCAGAACTCAGGCTGCCGATGCGCAGCTTCTGAAAGCCCGCGCCAAATGCGAGGCTGCGTGGAGGAGTGAGAGGCATCTGACATTGAACATGTAGAAGGATGGCTCCCTGCAGTCAGGTAGCTGCTGCCGCGCTTTCGCAGGGCCGGCAGCTGGCAATGGACAGAGGCGAGGGTGGCGAAACAGGAGTCGTGAAGGATGCTTGTCTCGCAGGAAAGCAGATCACGACCCATCAAAGGAGGGAAGTATCGCTAAAAAACACCGAGCAGATGCTCAAGGTATGTCGATTTTCGGGGACAGGACCCGGTTTGGCTCGGTGAAAGCCGCGGGCCAGGTGCCGATCTGCGCGGACGGCTGAAGGAGCGCTGCTCAGCTCAGGTGACGCCCTCGGCGTCAGAAGCCTCTTTGTTGTGCCGACAGTGCAGCCCATGCAAGGCTTGCCTGAGCGAAGAGATTGAGGAGGCAACGGCTAAACCAGCAGATGTGAAGGTAGTTGTATGCAGCCATGACGGTGGATGATCAAGCTGTTTTGCCCGATTCTTTCGCACATGACACGTGGGGAGAAGTTGCAGGGATCTGAGCGAGCTCGAGAGTCCGGGGCCTAAAGCAAGCGGAATCTCCTGCAACACCGTACGGGCATGTGACAGGAATGGCTGTTGTGCTTCTGAGCAGGTGTCGTGCGAAGACGGAGAAGCTACGGCAGGAGCTCGTCGCGGTGCGGCGTCGGCGACTCAGCAGACTCACCCGAAGCACCACTTCCGGATTCCAAACTCGCCGAAGTTGCTTCAGCCTCCGGGTTGGCTGCACTCCAGTCTGTGAGGTCGCACTGCCTCCCTGCGAAGCTTGCTACCTCCCGGCTGACCTGCGAAGATGCAAAACTGAGGGGCATGGTTTTTTGATCGACACGAGCGTTGTCATGGCGGTGATTCAGGTGATATCCTGTGATCATACGCTACTGGGCATCTTCTCCTGGACTGTGCTGATGTGCCATCGGCTACAGGATCGCGATCACTCTTCGTGGCTAAAGGTCCTTGCAGAATGCATACTCAGTTTGCAGAGCTGGAGCTGCTACCAACAGAACAGATAAACCTGCGTATCCTATTGATGATAATGGTTCTCCTTCGAGACTCTGGCCGTTGCGCTTCGTACCATATCTTGTGCTGTGGAGTTTTTCACGCAGGCCCATGGCAGGGTCCAGCGCAGGGCTTCCAAGCAATGGCCATGGCTTCCGACGTTCCAAGGTTCTGCGTGCTCGGCGGAGGCCCGTTCGGTTCACCTGAGCCCCTAAACCGAAGCCAATCAATCCCAGCACACGCCTGAGCGTCGGATGCTAGGCTTTGGGCGGCGTTTGGCTTCGGGATTGCGGGGCACAGCTAGGCTGCTTTCTGGGTACAGCCGTTCTGTTGTGGGCGATGGTATGACAGCCGCACACTTTTTTTTGGAAGTTATGGCTCGCAACTTTCAGCGCACCCTCGGCTGCTCCGCACAAGCTTTTTGATTCGAAGAGATCCCTAAATGGATCCCCACTCCGAAATATGAAGTTTCAGCTGCTAGATGTCTTCGTTTGATGTTTTCGGATCCTAAATTACTAAAGCTTTGCCTTACACTTGTTTAACCCTTATTCAACCTTATGGAGCCTTTATGAAAGCCCTGGATCCGAAATTGGAAACTGAGGTGTTCGATGTCTTGATTTAGTGGGGTTTCGGCCAAGAATTGACACGGCTTGTTCAAGGCCCTTGTAGCTTCTGCGAGGCCTTCGGAGGGCTGCGCCTGGTCGATGGCTCTTCTTAAACCATCGATTTCTTAAACAGTGCTGTGGCTGTACTTCGATGTTGCTCAATATCGGCTGGATGCTTCCAGTGCGAGTTTAGGTTCGGAGAGAGTGCCGCCCCTCCAGCGCACTCCGTTACAAGGGTGGCAGCTTGCGAGTTCATGACTTTGATGCAGTTGCGAGTTTTGCCGGCCTCGAGGAGTTGCCGGGTTGGTGTCGGCACGACTCCTACAGCGACAACTTCCCCATGCACAGATCACTGTCTTGGAGGCACCTGGCTGAGAAAAGTCGTGTAAGTGAAGTGCGATGCGACCTCACGGTCCTGGCAGTTTCAGGAGTCCGAGCGGCTGGGCGGCCTCGTGCAAACTGCAAGAGGACACGCCTTCTCACGGCATGGAATGAGATGTTTTTAGTGTCAGATCGTATCGCATCGTGCAGGTCCGAAGGGTCAGATTTTGGAGCAGGGCTTCCATTCCAGCATCCTGGTGAACAGAAACGGCCGGGAGGCTCTGGGCCTGGCCAAGATGCTGAAGCTCGAGGACGACGTCCAAGGGGCTAACATCGAAGCGTCCGCACGACGCCACCTGCTGCACCGCGGCCGTGTGCAGCTTGCACCAGCCGCTCATCACGTGCTAGTTTACGGTCCAGCTCTGATGGCAGAGCCCTTGTGGCCTCGGGGTCGTCAGAGCGACGAGAGCGTTGCAGCCTTTACATCTCGCCGTGGCTCCCGTTCTCTGGCCAGGCACCTCGGGCCTCGGCAGGTCTTAGGGCAGAGCCAATCCAGTGCTCTCTGCCAGGCACTTGGCAGATCCTATCTGCAGAGGTCAGCTCGCTGGCAAAGCCGAAGCCCTAGTCGCGACCTATGCAGACAGTGCACAGGCATGTTCAGGCCACACCCTTGAATATCTTGAAAAGTCAGCGGGCCACGGAGGGCATGGACTCGCCCTAAACTGTTCTAAGCTGGGACATGTGCTGGTATTCAGAACAGGATGCAGCCTGAATCCGTGACATGTACGGAATTCAGACAGCCCGGAGTGTGACATGAGCTCAGCCCGAGCCCCCAGCTCGGTGTAGGGCTCTGGAGAAGGGCAGCAGGATAGAAATCCTGCCTGCCAGAGCTGCGACGCCCAAGCCTAGTGTCAGGGATGCTCACGCACACCTTGAGAGCAGTTTTGCGAAACCGGCACTTTAAGTGGCGGGCGGGCCTGAGTTTGAATTGCGAGGCCGAGGAGCTGTCCGTGAGGACCTGCTTCCCCCGACTCTGGCACAATGAGCAGCGCTTCGGCTCGGTCTTCGTTGGGGCAGGTGGCCCAGCCAAGAGAGATCCTTTCTTGCCTGCCTAAGTGTGTTTTATCCACCTGACAAGGCCGCATTGGGAGCTCTTTCTTCCTACCGTCAGCGGAGCTGGATGGCCTTGGACCTGCTGGAGCGCTCTGGAGCATGTTGCAGCTGAGAGAAGTTGAGCATGCAGCCCGGGCTTGGCTTCAGCTGGTGGCTCAGAAGCAGCATGTAGTAAGATCTGTAAGTAGCAGGCAGATGGTTCCGTTGCCACGGCGAGCCCGAGCTTGAAGCCTTGACCATGGCATCCTTTCTGCCGCATATCGCAGCGACAGATGTGCGGGCACACAGCTTCGCAAGGCACCAAAAGAGCAGTCGCCACGTCAGTATTTGCCTCGGGGGCAGTTGTCGAACACCGCGATCCCACACATCCAGGATCGCTCCCAATGCGGTTTCAACGCACACAAGAAAACCGAGGCAAGCGAATGCCGACTGCACAGAGAGTGACCTTTAGTGAGACTAGTGCCCAATTCCCGATGCCGGCGCAGGTTTATTCGAGCCGAAGATTGCAGGCACGGGATGTTCAATGTGACTCTTCTTTGTGGCTGCTCGGTGAAAGGAGTTGAAGCGTTCATATGTCACGAACACTGGCGTTCACTGAGGTGCAGCCAGGCTTTGGCCAGAACGGAAGATGTTTTCGCGCAGTCGGCGCGTGCTGTCGGAAACCTTCGACGAGCATGCAGCTGCCGTAAGATCATGGTTGGACAAGCTTGTCATTGGCATGAACTTTTGTCCATGGGCCGGAAAAACCGACGAGTCCGGTGGCATCAGAGTGCCATGTCGTGTAGGTCGAATGAACTGCACCGTCAACATTGCCATGTCGTACTCTTTTGTTGCATGCAAAAAGCATGCGATAGCACGGCAAGCTGAGGTAGTTACCAGCCTGGGATCCGCCCCTTCAGAGGTGTTGGAGGACCTCCAAAGAGAGGCTTCGGCACTGCCATGCGAGCCGGATGCTCGACCGGGTGCAGCAACGACAAGCCTCGTCGTGTGCCCGCACGTGAAAGCCTGGCAAGTGCAGTTCTGAGTTGTTTTTTTGTGATGTCAGGGCAGGATGAGGGTGAGATGGCACGCATTGCGCAAGATGTCTCATGGTCTTAGGAATTTGAACCCTTTGCGGAATTCTTCGGTGAAACCCTGAAGAACGGGGTGGCATTCGAAGAAGACCTGGGTGTCAAGCTGGTGGCATTCCATCCGCAGTTTCAGCACCAGCCGTTGAGCCTAGACTCTGATTTTGATACGCTGCATGCAGCTGAGAAGTTGGGAGATCTCTGAAGCTTGCATCAGCTCTCAACTCCTTCCGCATGCTCAGTTTTTCGGGAATGAAAGGCTTCCTGCCGACCACTTCCAAGGTTTGGCAGCGTGCTTGAGATGGATGATATCTTGTCTCTACCGCTCGATGGAGCCTTGCAGAAGGCTTGAAACAAGCTGTTAAACGTGGGTTATCACCCACCGCATCCAACATGCAATTGCTGTCCTCGTTTGCGCTCATGACAAAGTGGATACAGTGACATATGCCCAATCCACCCATTCCAAACTGCAAGCCCCTTTGCAGCATGCGTTTTCTGCACGTGTCAGTTGCCAATTAGCCTTCATCGTTCGAGTTCGAGCTGTTGCCCGGAGGCCACGGTGCTGGATCCAGATGCAGGGCACAACGAAAACGGCGAGGACATGCTCTTCCGCTTGCATGAGATTCAGGATGACGCAGATGGCATGTGCGCGGGGGGATATGACAAGTCTGAGGTTTCTTGTCCAACTGGAAGATGGGTCCGAGAAGCTTATGGCTTACACGCTGCTCAGCTCAGAATCCTGGAAAGGGGAGGAAGACTCGAACTCAAAGAGCAGCTGCGTAGGGCCTAGTGTAGGTACCTGGCGGAGCTTCTGCAAGAGGGAGAGGGAGACGAAGGTGAAGAGGAGGTCGACGAGGAGTTTGGTGAACAGCTTGAAGATCTTGAAGCAGAAAGCGAAGATTCCACTGAGTCGGATGCTGCTTTAGCAAGCATCCCGCAGCGCGCGCCGCGACCAACATTTCACTTGCTGCGGCTGTGTGACGTGTCTGCAGCGCTTGCAGACCCTTCAGCCGGAGATCAAGTTTTGGAACAAAATGTAAGTACGGTGCAGAAGCTGGGCATTGACGGCTGGCAGCACATGATGGCAGAATGGCAATGGCCATGTGAAGAGCCCAGTGCAGGTATGAAAACCAAGTCCGGATCTGTGAGCATCTTGCATCATGTCTTCACCCAATTCGCACAGAACTCATCAGGTCGAAAGTCGAGGTTGGAGATACTTAGTATGCGACGCCAGGATCCCTTGCTCCAGCGAGTGGCAACGGGGGGCCGCCAGCGGCTCAGCAAGGCGAAAATTGGAGAGGCTTGCTCCGCTTGCTCCGCTGCTGTGCTCTTCTCCGCTCTTCAGGTAGCTATACCTTCCGCAACGGTCTGAGCAGTCTCATTGACACCCTGGAGGAGAGCCGAGCTGAGCTGAAGCCGCGAGACACCTTTTTGCATGTCCACGTCTCTCTTTTGCGAAGCCAAAAACTGACGACGAAGCTTGATAGCCAACCCCGCCGTCGATCATCAGCGATAGAATCTAAGCTGCTGGACTTCTGCCGAGGAGTCCCTGCAGCGCCCTGCGCCTGGCACGCGCCCGGCTGAAATTCGGCGGGGTGTCCCAAGAGCTCCAGTGTCCTGCCGAGTGTTTGATGCAGCGGGCTACAAGGAAGATGATGCAATTATACATGCAAGGCATTGCAAGGCAAGAGGACAAGTTCGTCATACAAGCTACGGACCCTTTTCACGGTGCAGGCTTGGCCTAGCCGCAAAGCACTGTCAAATAAAACAAACATGGAAAAAGCATCCAGTTTCTATCCAGGCCCAGCTGCTTGCACACGACTTGTCTTTTTTGCCTCTGTCGGCCTCAAAGGCTTCGGTCCGCTGTGCAGCGGCAATGTCCTCGGGCTTCCGTGGGTCTGCAGATTCATGGGAGAACTTGACATGAAGAACATGGGTTGTCGCATCAGAACTATGAGACGGCGTGTTGCTGTATGTTGGCTGAAGCCAGCATGAGCTTTGAAGCCCTAAACCCTGTGCCAGCACCACGTGGCAGCAAGCTACAGTAGGTGTGATTACCGAAATCTGTTATGTTTCCAAAATAATCCTGCCACTCAGCACGCATGACAAGGTGCTATAGGTTCCACTGAACAGCTGGTAGCCCGGTGAAGCAGGCGCATGAATGACCTTGCTTCTGCACGTTGCTCTGTTGAGCGGACAGCAAGCCTGCATATGCTTGGAGTCTGAAGCGACGGTTGATGACCTCCGGGTGCAAGCACAGCAGAAGTTGCAGCTGTCGATTGCTGGCCTCTTCTCAGCCGATGGCAACGTTCTGAGACGCCAAAGCAAGCTGAAGGACTTGCCATTGTCTAGTGGGGACACTGTCTCGGCAACTGTTTGCCATGCTGTTCTGTTTTCAAGCCGAATGTCGAAAGGCTTTGCCTTGCTCCGTGATGGACTTGTCGCGACGTGGGGCGATGCAGATTTCGGTGGTGATTGCCGCGCAGTGCAGGATCAACTGCGAGATGTAGAGACGATAGAAGCCGGCAGCAGTGCGTTTGCTGCCATACGCGACGATGGGACTGTTGTGACTTGGGGCAATCCTGTTTGCGGAGGTTCGAGCAGGAATGTGCAGCAGCAGCTACAAGGCGTTGTGGAAGTCAGTGCCTCCGGCGCTGCATTTGCTGCAGTTAGGTTTGATGGCTCCGTTGTTGCCTGGGGTCTCGGCTCCCAGGGAGCCGACACCAGCAGGGTGCAAGAGAGGCTTCGAAACGTAAAGATGATCCGCGCTGCAGGCTCTGCATTCACCGCTGTGCTTCATGATGGGACCGTCGTAGCTTGGGGCGATCCACGAAACGGCGGCGACTGCAGCGACGTTGAGGACCGCGTGGTAGTTTCCTGATTGTCCTAGAATCATCATGTGGCCAGGAAGTAGATGTGATTCTTACTTTCAGGACAAGCTCGTTGACGTTCAGGATGTCAAAGGCTCAGCCGGTGCCTTTGCAGCTCTCCTGCGTGATGGAAGTGTAGTGACTTGGGGCCATGCAGAATTTGGTGGTGACAGCAGCGCTGTCCAGGCAGAGCTCCACAATGTGTGTGCCATTGTATCGAACAGCCGAGCTTTCGCAGCGCTTACAGCTACGGGCAGCGTGACGACATGGGGTCATAGCTTGCATGGTGGAGATAGTACTTCGGAGCAAGTCCGCCTGAAGAGTGTGCGGGAGATAGTGGCATCAGCCACCGCCTTTGCAGCTATCCGATGCGATGAGACTGTGGTTACTTGGGGGTTTGCACCACACGGGGGCGACAGCAGCTCAGTTCAAGCTGAATTGCGAGGAGTCCAACGTATTGCAGCTTCGTCTGGTGCGTTTGCAGCTGTAAGGTCTGATGGAACTGTGGTGACTTGGGGCCATGCCGACCATGGGGGCGACAGCTCATCACTCCAAGGCGATCTCGTCGACATCTATGACATCAAGGGCTCTTGCAGCGCCTTTGCAGCGATGCGCACAGATGGAAGCATTTTGACATGGGGAGATCCATTGCTTGGTGGGGATTCCGCTCAGTGCCTCTCGCAGTCTGATGACACCTGAAGATGCTGATACAGCTTTCTCCGGCCTCAGCATCCAAACTGAAATGCACTGCAGCGGCAGCAGGAGCAACCGCAGCAGCAGCGGCTGGTCTTTCACAGCCCTTGCTCAAGTGGCGACATGTGAGCTGGTGGAGCTGGTCAAGAAGCAGATGGTTCGTGTGGAACTTGAAGTGTCCATCAAGTACTCTAGTCGGCTGTAGAGCATCTCCGTTCGCGAAAGTGGATAACTGGTTCCGATCTCGCGTCTCACTGTGCACTTTGCTGCGGAACAGTCCACACGAAGTCTGCCTTTCGCATAGCTGAGAAGCATGCTCTGAAACTCTCAAGGCTGGAAGAACCTGGAGCCAATTCCAAGACTGTCCATGTTTGCCTGGGCTACTTGACCGGAGTTGGAGTATGGGCTGGGATGCGTTCAGGCTTCTCGGTCTCAGAAACTGTTCCCTGGACTGACTACAATGGGATGGTCAAGCACCCCATGACCGTGTGAGGAAATTCACCTTAGTGCCTTAAGAATTCTTGCTCTTCTTGGCTGCGTGTTGACAGGAGATGGTAGCCACGTTGATGCAGACTGCGCCGCTGTCTTACTTGCTACGGCAACAACACAGCAGAGCAGCAGTGGTGCCCAAATCAAGGTCATCGCAGCCATTCCCCCGCCCCTGCTTGGAGGGCTGCTACAGAGAAGTCTGTGGCCAAGCCTGCATGGTGTGTCACTATGTTATATTATATACCATAATATAACATAATATTATAGTATACTATGTTATATAATAAACTGTATCTATAATTTACTATAATATAATAGAATAGAATAGAATAGAATAGAATATAACACTGCATCATATTGGCAGTGGCCGACAGTCACGACCAGTCGAGACGGGGCAAGCTTGCACAATGTCAGCACCGAAGGCCGTTTGTGCGTGCCCAGAACACCAAGGTCTTAAAGCTGGCAGCTCTCCGGCATCATTCTCAGCCCATCAGACCCAGATAGAACCAACGGATGCTCTGCGGAAGACACGGTATGCTCTCAGCAAGGATAGCACTGTTTGGAGACCGCTCACGGGCATCCAGCACAAGGCTTGGTGGCTTGGTGCTGCGATATACCTTGGCCTCTCTCTGGGCACTCAGTCTCTGTCTGGCGATCTGACGTGTGCGACGACTGAATGGGATTGTCGTTCAGCATCTAATTTTATCGTAAATGCTTGTCTCGCCGCTTCCCATCTCATTGGGCTTCCTCAATTGCCCTGCACTGCCAGTCAGTGGCGGTGGTGAACGTCTGCTTTGACAAGGATGTCTTGAAGGAGCAGTTGCAATGCCAGAATGATGCTCCAGTGTTGCCGGGTTGGCTCTCATCCAACATCGGCAAGATGCCGACAGCGCCAATATGGGCCTGGCACTGGTCCGGCTGCAGGAACGCCGCTTGCGAGGTGCTGGCTACTTCATCGGCTCTTGCGAGAACCAAGGGCCTGGCTCACGGAGTGCGGCTTTCTTCTTCAACTGCACAAGACTTGATGCTGCCTGCATGTCCGTGATCAAGTGGCATGCAATGTCGTTGACACAGAACAGAAGCGCCAGTCCAAACTTGTCCTCAGCGGCATGGGTGATCCTGACTGGACATGTTATCGTATGGAATTGTCCAGAATAGTGAATTTGCAAGCGTTTTGCAAGCGAGCCTTGTCCTGACATGGAAATTTCCGTCGTGGTCGGAAGCCGCAGCGCTCCCAAGCTCGAGGCCTCGTCCGGGGTGCCGTGGCCCTTCAATGCCAGAGTCAGTGCAAAGGCGGCGCGACGAGGTTTCCAGCAGGTCACAGAGAAATCTGTGAATCTCTGCGGCGTGTCGTGGCAGCATGATGACGTTGCTGAAGCACACACATCAGGGTTTTGCACGTGTGCAGAGAGTAACAAGCATTGCGCAGTTTTTCGTTAGTGTCTCTGCGGTTCGCAGAGAGTGCCTTCAACTGCCGAAGTTCCGAGGCCCGAGTGTGAAGAAATGTTTTCGCTTAGTCCGCTGTCACAGTGGCGTGGTTGCAGGGCCCCGGTTCGCTCTGGTGTTCGCAGTACTGGTCGTCGCTCAGAGACTGAAGGGGCATCTGTCGTGCTTCATCGACAACTCGTCCGCAGAGCATGCACTGTAGAAAGGTTGTTCTAAGGACGGTTCGTTCACCAAGGTCCTTGGTTGCTTCGTTCGGTTCTTGGCAAGTAAGGCAAGTAAGACTTTCGGGATGGGAAAAAAGAACGTCCGAGAATCCAAGCGGATGCCTTCGCTTGTTTGTAACGAATTGGTGTTTGTCCTTCAGATCGCTTGCACTGTCAATAGCTCGTCGTGTTCGCTGCCCTCTGATCTGTGTCAGTGCGATTGACTGTGTGTAGCAGAAGATCTGATCATGTGCAAGATGTTGTCCGACCGGTTGAGGTGGACGCAGAATCGGGCGTTTCTGCGCAGCCGCGGGGGTTCGAGGAGACGCGGCGGGGCGCAATGCAGAGACTGCGCGCTGCCAGGGAGACGGCAGGGGATTGCGGGAGCTGGGCTGGGAGACTTTTGAAGAACTCGGACTGAGACAAATGCAGCATTCAGATCAGTTTCAGTATTCACTTCGGGACTCTGCAGATCTCGTTGTGACCACTGCGTGACCAGCTTGACAGGCCGAAGGTGCGCGTGCTGACTTCTGCATTGCCTTCGAGGGCGGGATCGAGGAGGATGCGCATGGGCGTCAAGTATGCTTCGCCATCGCTACTCGGCTCGAGTTTTCGAAGGCCTGGCAGGATGTCGGTACCAAAGACCCCGCAGATCCCCGCAGTCATGCTCCCTCCGCTGTATGCTGCTCTGTTCGTGAAGTGAGGTGTGTGCGCAGTTCCGGGATGACGACTTCATCAGTGAGGCGGTTTCGGAAGAGCGAGACGCCGCCAACGAGTCACGAAAACCAGCGATGAATCGACCAAAGTCCTATCTGTGCAGCCATGCCCCTCGCCCGCCCGGCATGGAACGACCAGAGATCGGCAGGTGCGCAGCGCAACACATTCTCTCCCGCCTGGGATTGAGACTCTCGGAGAATGTTCTGGAAGTATATAGCCGCCATATAGCAATATTTGAGTGCAAGACCTGGACCGCTCTCTTGGGGAAGGAAATTGATCAATGAGGGCGTCGAGCTTGGCTTGGCAACCGACCAGTTTTTCGCATCCAGGGCTGCTCTGTGGCATTGTGGAGTTTTTGCCTTTTGGCAGGCAGCCAGCTGTGTGTGCGCTGTTGATGGAGCCCCCCGAAGCCACGCGAGGTAGAACAAGGTTATGGCAAGCACACAGGCTCGCAAGTGGTGCCGAGGGAACAGTACGAGTCAGCTTATCATGAACTGCGTTGAGACGAGCAGGTGAGATTGTTTGGATCTTGCAGTAGCACAATTTCAAACGGAAGCAGGGCAGCGATTCTTGAGTGGGATGACGATGATGTGCCATGTTTACAACATGCTGCAGCAGATTTTGATAGATTATGGCGATCGCAGTCCAGAACAGAACATTACTTATGACTATTCCCACAGATTGAACATCCTTCAACGGCGCGCCACAACCACCAGAGAGCATCTTTGAGGGAAGCAGCATGCTTGTTGCCTTTCAGTTCCATACTGCTGCAGCATTGGGAAGTCTAAAAGTCTCGCCCGGCTTTGCTTGCCTTGTTGCGCAAACCCCGCAGGCGGAACCATTGGCGCCCTCACCTTCGGTGCTGTGGACCGAAAGTTGCTACTGTTTGCCAAGGTTGCAAAGGGGCCCAGGATCTGGCAGAGCTGAATGCAGCGGCAAGTGACGCTGGTCTGCCAGGACAGAGTCGCGTACTATGCGCAGCCGGCCGCACTGTGCTTGGTCGGGAGCTGAGCTGGCATGCCGGACACTTCCTGAAGACAGTAGGTGCGTGCATGCTTGTTCGAACAGCAGGTGCCTTTCCTGAATGCCAGCGACTATGGCATCACTTCCGAGAACCCACTGGTGCCTGCGGAACGTGCTGCGCAGTAAAAACGTGCACGCTTGACGGATGTAGCTTTGCTTCGGCTGCAGTGCAGCGGCAGACATGCAGTTCGTGCGGACGACACATGGCAATCTGTCACAGGTCGATGCTTGCCATGTCCTGGGACTCCCAACTGTTTCCAGAGCAAGGCGATTCTCCCCGCTTGTTGATCTCATAGTGCGCTGTCCGATCATGTCCGATCCATTGCTGTGTAGGAGCAAGCTCTGGGTCCCAGATGACGCTGTGCCTCTGCAATATTCACTTCAATTGCGAATCTCGCTGCTTGAAGGAAACACCACATCGCTTGCATGTCGAAGGTATTTCGATGGTCATCTTGCAGAAGAGGCAGGGCCAGGCAAGGTGCGTGAAGGGAGTGTGCATTGGTGAATCATTGGTGCATCATTGCATATCGATGAGCAGTCAAAGCACGTGCTGCAGGCTTTTCAGAAGAAACTATGGCCGAAAGTGCCCTGGAAGCCGTGAAGAAGCATTTAGGGATTCAGGAACAGCTGAGTCCTCAGCGGCATACCGGGACATGTCGACTCGTGTTATCTGCGGCTTGCAATACTTCGCCATTTGTTTGGGAAGGCTTCTGCACGAAGACGGTTGTGCAGTGCAGTTGGGGTTTGCAATGCCCGCGCTTGCCCGAGGCCATCACACGTTAGTGTGAAGCTCTGGCAAGAAGCTTCGGTCTCAGGGCTTTGATCTGCAGCTGCAGCACTGGGGTTGATTCTTGCGGGGTCTTTTCCTGGAATCACTGGTAACCCAACAGTTTGCACGCTCTTTGACGATGCATTTCTCGAGGCGCTTCCTCAATACAGGGTCGGCCACCATCTGCTTTTGCAGGACCAGAGCCGCTTCGACTAAAGTGCCTGTGACCGGTATTCGACTGCACAGGACTTCCATGCAGCACGTCGAAGCCACCTACCATGGCTTCAGGCAGCCTGGCAAGCCTCGTTTCGGTTCGTTTCGATTCGCAGTTCAGGCCGCTTTCGGTTGGGCAAACCTGCCATCAGATCCCTCCAGACCTCCTTCCCAACCCTGCTCCCCACCCAGTAACCTTTGAGCGACGTCAATGATCGGAGATGAAAGTTCTTCTGTGATACGCTTTTGCTCTTGACCCTCAATGCCTTCACTGCCGCCCGGCCTTGGCCAGCAGGTCTGTGGCCCCGGGTATTTCGGGACGCGCAACGTTGCCGATGAGGTCGTCGACGCCCGCGAGTTGACAGATGCTGGGGACTTAGCTACGCACGGTAGACCGGCACTCCGACATAGTTAGGAGGCTGCAGAGCATGCCTTGCCTGCTTCTGAACCTCAGACGATCGTCCGGCGCTTCATGCGTTTCCCCCATCTCATCGAGAACGAGCTGGAAGAGGACTCAAGGATGTGCACCATATGCTATTCGGCGGCTGATACCATGAAATGAGAGGACACTTCTAGACGATCTGGGCGAATCTGAAATGCCTGACATGCACCAGCGTCAAAAACAGCGGTACCGAGAATCTGCACATGTGTCTCCAGGAATCGTTTCAAAAATCCGCCTGCGGCACATTGGGCTCCAGCGGGCCAACACTGAAGGAAAGTGCTTTGCAGCTGTCACCATGTCACCCCGAAGAGACAGCTAAGCACCAAACCACTCTGCGTGAGCAGCTACTACATACCTGAGATTTCTGCAAAGGCTGTTCTTTCCATGCAGCCTGGAACACCGAATCGGCGTTCACCCACGACAAAGGCTGGTCTAGAAAATTCAGTAAGGAGCATACATCGCTGCCTATGGCGAGCAGACAGGGCAGCGGGCAGGATGGTTTGCCCGGATTTGCCCTTGCACTTGGGGCTTCCTCACAGAGCATACAGCGCGCAGGACTTCGTGGTGAAAAATTTAGCCTTGGTGGCTGTGTTCGGGTCAATGAGTCTCTGTCTCGGTGATGAGCCACGCAATCTGGCTCTAGTACGTTTCTTGGCCTAAGCCTTTTACGTGGCTGCAAAAGGTTTCTTCTATGCTTCGCAGAGAGACGTGGCAGTCCAGCTCACACCTGGGGCCAAGCTTCAGAAGGCGCACCTCCAATCAATGCCCAACTCGATGCCAGCTCATGTCTTTTGCATGTCACCCTTATTCTGCTCGCCACCACTGTGAGCCAGCAACATAACTTCGCTCCAGGACCGAACAGTGGTGAAAAAGTTGGCTCAATGGATGCATCTCTAGAGCGTGCATGTCAGGGCGTTGCTTTCAAGTCGTCAGCGCGAGGCCAGGAGCCAAGCCAGTACGCAAGTGGCTCAGACTCCGATGAGGTGAAAGGCAGGGTGCTTGCCAAGGCTCCAGAAATCCTCCGCCTCTCAAAGAGACCGAGGAGCTTCAAGGACGGCGGGCAAGAGGCTGAAGCAGACAGGATGACTTAAGTCCCCGCTCTGCAGGTGAGACACCCCAGGTCAGCCGTGAGGCTCAGTTCGGGGACTGGTTCTCATCCGATGCACCATTGCACATCGCAGTATATTTGACCGCTGGTTGACAGGCAGACAATGGCCAGGCACGTTTGGACCCAAGCTTGCCCAAGTTTTCCTCCCCAGCAGCGCTTCTCTTAAGATCTCCTGAGTTTCAGCACCGGGCAGCTGCCTGAAGAAGCACACGCAGCAAAGCATATCATGTAGTATTTTTAGAGGCAGGATAATCATGCTCACGTGAGAAGAAGTCTCCATCTCCATGACGTGGCTCGATGTCGGACTGAGGCTGGCGTTTCCCCACTCGGGAAGAGAAGGCGGCTTTTGCTTGCTGTTTGCGGCGAGGGCAGAGGGTCCGCAGGGTGGGGTTGCGCAGTGCCTGGAGGTTCCCCACATCAATCTCACCACCTTCCATGAAGATGTGCCTCCGTTTGAATCAGACACCGTAATGGCATCTGCAGCTTCTGAACTAGCAATGTCTTGTCATTCTGCGTAACCTTGAGGCACTTGCGTGCCCGACATGTCATAAATGGTCCCAGCTAGCTCCAGAGCTTGGCCATCTTGTTTCCACCTGATCTCTTGCTCGGACTTCAGATGCGCCTCACTCACGAGCATTGCATCAGCTTAGCTTGTAGCACAACACAAAAAAGAGGCGATGCCCCAACCCCGCCACTACTGGCGGTGAAAGTTTAGAAGAGGCTTCGAGTCGACTGGCGACGCTGGGTGACCCGACATCGATTTTGTATTCGCAGACGGCTGACCCCACAACGTTGCGAACTCCATCTTCCAAACATGACTTGTGCACGCGGGTTGTGTGTCTGTGATGCTGACACCTCGGTAGACTTGTACAGACCTGCTGTTCACTCAGACCATGACTCAGACCATGACCCACTGTGATGCGAGATCTATGTGCTGTGCGTGGCACAAGAGTGCATGTTGTTTCATGGTCCGTGCGTGCGGCTGCGATTAAACGCCGCTCGCAAAGACATTCAAACACAAGTGCTTCACAAATTGTCTCGGGGTTTCATAGACAGTGCAGAAAATGTGTGGTGGAGCAAGACAACAGCATGGGCTCCAGTAGTATCCACTAGCATCACTAGAACATGTGTCCAAATAGTCTTTCGAGGTGACGGAAGGTCCCGAAGACAGACCGGCAGAGGCAAGCCCTACCGCCCTACCGCTGCTTCCTGCAAGCGTTTGTTGCTGCACTGTTAGAGCAGTTAGAGCGCCACCACCATGCCATACTGTTTATCTCTCAAGTGGACGTTTCGCCCTTGGGTCACCTGGCCAAGAAGACATGGCCACAGAAGACATAGAGGGTGTCGAGGAGGCACTCTGTGAGGTGCCGTGGGAACCTGAGTCCCCGCCGCAGGCGCCTGCCCTCAGCTTCCGGGCTCGCAAGTGGCTTGGGCTTGGTTTCACAGCGGTGGCAACCATTGGCCTCTTGTGGGTTGCGGTGTTTCGAGCAGGGCCGGTACAAGACAGCGCTGTCCTGCCCAAAGTTTCGGAGACCTCCTTGGAAGTTGCCAACAAGATGGGAGTTCAGGAACTCCTTGAGCTCTTTGACCTGGACGGCTTGACTTCCGAGTTGCAAAGTTCCAATAACAGCTTTGTGAAAGAGATCTTCGACATCAAGCGACACCTTCAGGACATGACGCAGAACCCCCTAGCCTTGCCCATCGCTACTTGCACAGTTGACGTTTACCTCGTTGCATCCTTCATCGGGATCATTGGTAACGTTGTCAACGGGGCAGTCAAGGCTTGCGAGCGTAAGGACACCTATCGAAACTTTGTGACTGCAGACCGCTTCGTGGACTTGCTGAAGATTGACTTCCTGGACGAGCGTAAAAGGCAGGCGCTCAAAAAGTTGCTGGACCAAGGTTGCAGAATCGGGATCGAGACCAGCTTTGCCCTTTTCAGTTTCACGGCGGCCTTCCTAGCGCGTGCGGCTTCAGACTGTGCAACGTCCATGAAGCTGCCACCAAATCCGACGGCTCAATGCGCAGCTTCATTGAGCCTGGTGGGTTCTGGCATCTCCTATTTGGCCGCCGGGGCAGAGATTGCTGACGCCACATGCCCCCCCTATCCGAACTTGAGGGACAAAAGAGTGTCAAAGGACTTGGTGGATGTGAGTGCCCTTGACATTGTTGGTGGAGTTGCGAGGCGACTCGGCGTTAACACAATTGACAATCCTGTGGCAGAGGCGAAGCTGGACGATGCACGTCAAATTGTTCTTTCTCGCCTTCCTTCGCTCGGAAAGCTTGGTGGCTTCATCGTGAACAACAAGGAATGGTTGAAGATCAGACGAGAGAAGCGCAAGGTGTCGTGTCGGAACGCCTGCAACAGTGGTTGCTTTGATGTTTGCCGGCTTAGCTTGTTTTTGCACTGTACGTCTGCCGGATAGAGGTGTCAGCGTGATATGTTTAAGAAGTTCTGCAACCGAGTGAAGTTCAGCAGCTCGATGCCCTGAAGAGCTAGACTCAGCTAGACCCAAGAACCCACAGTGACTTGTGTCTGCCAGGCGAAATCTCGCAAGGAGAAGGAGATTAAGTGCGGCTTCGACATTGCCGGGCTGGTGGGCTTTGCGGCAGCGGTCGGTGTTTTCATTACCGCTGGAACCGTTGAATGTCCCCTTGCCTCTGGTGAGACAGCTGCAGCCGAAAATTTCAAAATGGGCTGCAGCCTGGACATCTCAGCCGTGGTTGCAGCCTTGACAACGATTGGTGGTTTCGTTGGTATCCTTGCAGTCGAGTGCCCGGAGGATCCTAAGAATGCAGCTGCCAAGCTTTGCTCCACCGGAGCCTTGAACATCGTCTCATCGATGGGATTCCTGTCGGGTGCCTTCTCAGACATTTCCCGATCATGCCCCGCAGCATTGCAGGAAATCCAGGATGCATAGAATAGAATGCTCGAAGAGCTTCGATTTCTGAGTCAGGTCCTTGCAATAAAGCTTGCTGAAGAAAGCCACGTCCTAATGCGGCTGGTAAAAAGATGAGCTGCTCTGGCCGCCAAGACACAAAGGAGTACATAAGTTCACTTTTCTGCGGAACACAACCAGCCGCAGGTCATTCCACCCGCGCAGGAACCAGATGACGAGCCGCGGGATTCCCAGGTTGCTGCTCGAAATTTCGACTGCCCACCGGCCTTAGCAGCTTCGTAGCAGGCTCGAGGTGCAACAAAAAGGTGTCACGGCGAGATTGTCGACCCTCAATGCTTGTCAGGGCCATCGTCATCGATGCTGGACCAAGTGGATGAAAAGGCCCGGACGATACGGTATGTTTGCAACTTGATTTTGATCAACACATGCCGCCAGTATTCGCAGGCTTCAAATCGATAGTAAAGCAGGACTAGATCAACCATTTTTATGTCGCAGGTTTGATTTGATAAGCATAAACTATAAGTGTGATTTATCATACTGGTTTTCGTCGAATGGAAAGGAGATTCTCTGTTTCTACGATCATTAAGGCTTGCCCGTCCGGTGCACATTCGAGGTAGCCCGGGACAAGTAGCTGTTTATGGACATCCGTCCGAGTGGTCATGTGAGAGATTTTTGCGAGCAGGTCTTGTCAGCGAATTCTTGTTGATTTGTTTAAGAGACGGGCACCCAAAAGATCCCAGCAAAGGGTATAAACTTAGGTTCTAGTTTGCTTCTTAGCTGTTTCTGTCGTTGGAAAGGGATATAGTTTAGGTAGAGAAGTAAAATTGGGCGAAGTTTTGTAGGGGCCGTGGGCGCAGCGCGCGCGCCCCCGCCCTTCCCCTGTCCTCCCCCCTCGCGACGAGTCCCTTGCCCCCTGCCCCGACTCTTCTCCTTGTCTTCCCCCCCTCGATCCCCGCAGTTAGACGGCCTCCGATGATCCCCGCCCCTCTCCCCACCCCGCTGATGCTGACGATGTGCCCCTTTGGGGGCTTTCGCGGCGCGTAGCGCGCGCGTTGCCGTATGAGCCTCCGCACGAGATCCTGCGCGGCCCGGTGGAAAAATGCGGGTCCGATGATGTAGGGTCGGCGGCAATGGCGGCACTACCGGTCGCGCCTTTTGCTAAAGCAAAGTTTACGTATGCGCTCGGCGAGCGAACGTTGCCCGATTTAAGGGTTGTCGCCGACGCCGGCATAGGGTGGCAGTAACACAAGAGTTGAAGATCGTAACATAAATTTCCGATTTAATATATATTTTTAGGGAGATATTTTTCATAGGAATACGACGATTATTATCGACGAGAGCAGTGAAATCATTGATATGGACATTATTTGAATGATTGCCTAGCTCTAAATATAACATCAAGGTCTTTGTGTGGGGATTGTATAAGACGGTTTTAACATTTTAAGTCGTATGTCCGCGATGGGTCTATGAAAAGAAAGCAGTAATTCGCGAAAATTATATAATAGATTTGGGCCGAATAGGGTTTGTAAGGTATATGTTGTCGTAAGCTCGCTATTCCGTGAAATTATAGTAGATATAGTACGAAAGATTCGAAATACATTAATTTTTAATTATTATAATATATTAGGATATATTAATGATAAATAGTCGGACGAGTATTCATAGCGAATTGTTATTTGGATATAATTATATGATTTCTCAACAAATTTGTATATCTTATATATTGCTTGCTATTATTATTTAAATTTTTGGAAATATTTTCTTAATATAATATTGATATAGTTAATAAATTTTATTTTCTATATATATATATATTTATATGATATATAAATTATATATTATTAGGTTTATTTTTCTTTCTGCTATAATTTTCGTTATATTTGATTTATTTCCTATAGATTTCGATAGAAATATATTCTCTATTTTTTTAAGTTAAAAAATAATATATATATATATTAATTTATATATTTATATAATGAGAAAAATTAAAAATAAATTTCTATTTCTATATTGAATTCTACAATTTATATATATGAATAAATATATCGAGATTATACTAGCTAAAATAGAGCGGAGGAATTAATCCAGCGGTAGTTCTGGATGGAGGATTTGGTGGAGGAATTTACGGGGAAAAAAAAGATTTGTATCGTGTTGAACAACGAACTATATTGAATGCGCAAATTTTCGTCTTGTCGCAATATAAATTCGATAATATATTCTTTATTGATATTTGACATGAATACAGATATATAATTTTAAGTCAATATTGATATTTGATTTAAGTCAATATTGATATTTGATTTATTTTAGGTATAATATATGAAAATTGATATTTTTAGTGGTTTACTAGATTCGATTTAAATTATATTCTTTATTAAGCTCGCGATAATTATCGATTTTTTTCTTGTTTTTATGATTCGAAAGAAATGAAATTTATCGAAAATATTTCAATTCGAAATGTCTTCTTTAGAATATAATTAAATAAAAAATTTCTATAATAGAGATGATAGATTTCTATTTTCGAAGAAATCTAAAAATTATATTCGTTTATAGAAAAACCAAAAAAAATTAAATAATATAATATGTTAGAATAATTATATAAATTTTTTTATATAAATATCCGAAATAGTTAGTTTAGTAATAAATTATTTACATTTTTTTGCAGATTAGAATCATTCTTGGAATATTTTTTCTAATCAATTAATTATGGAGATTGGAAATATAGATATTTATTCTATACGA